CTAGGTGGTTCAGTCGGTTAAGCTTCTGCCTTCGGCTCAGGTCATGACCCCAGGGTCCTGGGATCGAGTCCGAATCAGGCTCCTTGCTCAGCAGGGAACCTGCTTCTCCCTCTACCTCTCCCGCTCCCCCTGACTGTGTGCCCTCTCTCTCTGTCAAACAAATAAATAAAATCTTAAAAAAAAAAAAAAAGCAGCTCTTTCTGCCCATGGGTCCTGTCCCTGTGCTTTAATAAAACCACCCTTTTGCACCCAAATATATAAATAAATGAATAAATAAAAACATTAAGCTTGGTATAAGTTAAAAAGTTAAAGCAATTATTTCATATTCAGCCTATTCATCTTTTTGTTTCTACCAGCTTCTTAACTAGCATTATGGTTTTTTCTTACCAATCCATTGTATTCACATTCTAATCTAGTGCTATTATTATTGTTATTATTTAGATTCCTTTTTGGCTTAAGAAAAACAAGATCTATTTCAGCCTGCATCTCAGGCCTATCAATCCTGTGACTTTAGATTTAAATGATTTTCATATCCTAAAGCAATTAGCACATATTGGATAAATACTTTACACTATGCACTGTGCTAAGTAGTTTCATATATTCTCTTACTTCATTTTCTTAACACCGAGATTAAGTGTATAACAATCCCCATTTCACAGGTCAGGAAGGCTTTGAGCTGTTAAGTGGCTAGTTCAAACACATGACCAGTTAATGATTGGTAGAATAAGGATTTGAACTCAGGCACTTAAACTACATAGCCCATATTCTTAAATGTTATACTACATACATCCTTCTACTTGCTACATAAGGTTAGTATTATTATCCCATTTTATAGAAACCAAGGCACAGACAAGAGTACAGTGATTTCACTTTTTAACTGTGTATTTCTGGCCTATAGAAATGTAATTAATTTTTGGATATTGATTGTACATCCAGCAAAATTCTCATATTAATTCTAATAATTTTCTAATAGATTATTTTGATTTTTCTGCAAACACTATCATATCTTCTGGATAATGAAGTTTCATTTTTTCCTTTCCAATCCCTATACCTTTCATTTGTTTTTCTGGTCTTACTGGGCTGGCCAGGGCCTGGAACACAATGTCAAACAGAAATGGTGATAGCAGCTAGCCATGTCTTCTTCCTTTCTCATAAGGAAAGCTTTCAATTTACCATTTTATTTGATATTTGCTGTAGGTTTTCCAAAATGGATAAAGACATTTTCTTTCTATACCTAGTTTACAGGAATTTTTATTTTTAATACATGTCAGATTTTATTAAGTGTTTTTTTCTGCATTTCTTGAAAAAAAAATCACATGTTTTTTCTCCTTCAATCTTTCATATAGAATGAAAAACATTAATCTTCTAATATTCAACCAATCTGGTATTTATGGGAAAAAGGTGATGTCTTCCACTTTTTATATGTTGTTAGATTCAATTTTATAATATATTGTTCAAGATATTTTATATCTGGGGCGCCTGGGTGGCTCAGTCGTTGAGCGTCTGCCTTCGGCTCAGGTCATGATCCCAGGGTCCTGGGATCGAGCCCCGCATTGGGCTCCCCGCTCGGTGGGGAGCCTGCTTCTCCCTCTCCCACTCCCCCTGCTTGTGTTCCCTCGCTGTGTCTCTCTCTGTCAAATAAATGGATAAAATCTTTAAAAAAAAAAAAAAAGATATTTTATATCTAGGTTTATGAATGAAACTGGCCTTTCATTTTGCTTTTTTTTTTCATTGCAAATTTCATTCATAAATTTTGCTTTTTCATACTGGCCTTGACAGGTGTTGGTACCAAAGTTATGCTAGCCTCACCCAACGAATTGGGAAGTGTACTGGATTGAACCTATGACACTTACTTTATTGGAAATAGGGTCTTTGCAGATATAATTGAGTAATAATGAGGTCAGACTGGATAAGGGTGATCTGTATAAGCTCAGGGAAATCTGGACACAGGCGAGAGGCCCATGGGAAGAGAGAGGCAGAGATAGGAGTGAGAGAGCAAGAAGCCAGGGAACACCAAGGGTTGCCAGCAACCACAGAAGCTAGAGAAGGCAAGGAAAGATTCCCTAGAGTCTCCAGAGTAAGAATGGCCTGGCAGATATCTTGATTTTGAGCTTCTGCCCTCCAGAACTACGAGAGAACAGATTTCTGTTGTTTTAAGTCACCTAGTTTAAGTCATTTGTTATCACAGCCCTAGGAAACTAATATGGGAAGTGTTCCCTCTTTTTTTACTACCTAAAACATTTGTGTAAAATTAAAATAATATTTTCCTTGACTTTTTAGTTAGAGCTTCCCAAGAGTCACCTGGGGCTGGAATCTACTTTGTGAAATTTTTGATTACTGACTCAATTTCTTTAATGGTTTTCTGTTTCCTCTTGAGTCATATTGGTAAGCCATAATATTTTCATAATATTTTTGTTATGTTTTTTAATGGCTACAACATCTGCAGTGCAATCCCATTCACAATTCCTTATATACATCGTGCCTTCTCTTTTTTTCTTGATCAATCTCTCCAGAGGTTTGTCAATTTTACCAGTCTTTCAAAGAACTAAGTTTTTTTTAAATTTTATTTTATTATGTTAGGTTAGTCACCATTCATTACATCATTAGTTTTTGATGTAGTGTTCCATGATTCATTGTTTGTGTATAACACCCAGTGCTCCATTCACATGCCCTCTTTAATACCCATCACCAGGCTAACCCATCCCCCCATCCCTTCCCCTCTAGAACCCTCAGTTTGTTTCTCAGAGTCCATAGTCTCTCATGGTTCGTCTTCCCCTCCAATTTCCCCCCTTCCTTTTTCCCTTCCTACTATCTTTCAAAGAACTAACTTTTGACATAATCTTGAATCACATTTGTTTCTATCTCATTAATTTCTCCTCCTCCTTATTCCCTTCCTCCTACTTCACTGGGTCTATTTCACACTTGTTTTGTTAGTTCCTTGATACAGATGCTTAGCTTTTTTATGTTTCAGTCTGTTTTCTGATAAATACCTTTATGGTTATAAATCTCCTGCTAAGTTTTGCTTTAGCTGTATCCCTCAAGTTATATATGTTGCATTTTCACTATCATTTAGTTCAAAATATTTTCTAAATTCTATTATGATTTCTGCTTTGGCTCAGAGATTGTTAAGAAATGAATCTAATTTCTAAACATATGGGTATTTCTAGTTATATTTTTGTTATTGATTTCTAGTTTAATTGCATTGTTGTCAGAGAATGCATTCTAAGTGAAATTTATTGAGACAAGTTTTGTGGTCCAGTATCTGGTCAAATTTGTAAATGTTGCAGATTTAAGAAGAATGTATATTTTCCAATTGTTGAGTGCCTTGTTCTATATAAATCCATTAAGTCTAACAACTTCTAATGCTTTTCTAGGAGAATAATTTTTTTCTGTCCTTGAGCTCTAACTACATTCTCTCTTTTCTACCTCCTGTCTTACAAAGAAATATCAAGTTCTTCATAATTGGGATCCCTCTCTCCATGCCGCAAAGTCACTATCTTGGGCTCCTGACCTCAAGTTTTCAAACAACAATTAAGCCATTTAATAACTGGTTAACATTTGGCACGGTATTTTAATCTCTCTCGGGCTCATCCTTCTCATCCGTAAATGGAGATGGTAGGATTTACTGAGGGTTAAAATAGAATATGTGTAAAAATACTGTTTTCATTATTAATAAATAAATAACCTACACAACTGGCACATAGTAGGCAATTATTATAATGACTGACATTTTTACTTTTTTAAAAAAGATTTTATTTATTTATTTGACAGAGAGAGAGAGACAGCGAGAGAGGGAACACAAGCAGGGGAGTGGGAGAGGGAGAAGCAGGCTTCCCGCCGAGCAAGGAGCCCGACGTGGGGCTCGATCCCAGGCCCCTGGGATCATGACCTGAGCCAAAGGCAGACGCTTAACGACTGAGCCACTCAGGCACCCCCATTTTTGCATTTCTTTATTGTCATGATTCCAATATCTATATCTTCTCAGGTTTCAGTTAACATATATTAAATTCCCTTGGCTGCAGTAAGATCACATAGGCCCTCCTATCCACGTGACTTTTGTTAAAGGGCATAAACATATTTAATTGGGAAAAGAAAAGTTGTCACAAATACCACTGAATCCCCATTTCAGATTCTTTTGCCATATGTTTTCAGTATTTTTGCATCTTCATGGAATAACCCAATAAAGATTGCCATGGTCCCTGAGATGGGTGACCCTCAGAAGAAAAATGAATTCCATTTCAAATTTCTGTGTGAAATAAAAAATAACACTGACTGAACATCTTCTGATGCAGGCAGGCACTGAACTAGGGACTTTCAGATATATCTCATGTAACTTCAAAAAACCTGTTAAGATAGATATTACTACCTACTTTCTCTTTTTTTAAAGATTTTATTTATTTATTTGAGAAACAGAGAGCAGAAAGAGAAAAAGAGAGAGAGAGTGAGGACAAGCGGGGGGCGGGAGGGGCAGAGGCAGAGGGAGAAGCAGACTTCCCTTGAGCAAGGAGCGCGATGTGGGGCTCGATGTGGGGCTCGATCCCAGGACCCCAGGATCATGACCTGAGCAGAAGGCAGACACTTAACTGACTGAGCCACCCAGGCGGCCCTACTATCTACTTCTAAGTAGAGAAACTGAGGTTCAGGAGATTACAGGGATTTGCCCAAGCTCACATAGGGTGGAGGTATATGCAGAGCAGAGATGTACGAACATACCTGCTAGTGGTTAGTGTTAGTTAGTATATACTAGCAGGCATAACACCCATCAAGTCTGGCACCTAATGTCCTCCAAAGGCCCAATCCAATATAAAAGAGAGTAAGGTCAGAGTCTTCTCTGGGTCTCTTTGTGATTCTTTCTCTCTACAATGTTTCTCGTTCCCACTCAAGTCTCCCATATCCTTTACCCACCCTAAGGCATTACCCACAGAGATAGCACATGCAGTATGGGTCTCAGTCTGTGGCTGGTTTCCGGAGACAGTGGGAGAGGGCGAGAGACTGGTTACCTGCAGAGAATTTGCCATCCGCTCCACAAATCACAATGGCTTTTACTGTATGGTCTGTTACAGCTTTCTGCAGTCCCTCTCGTATTCCATGGAGTACAGCCGTACTAAGAAAAAAAAATACATGAGGCATTAGAATTGAATTTCTACCATCTCAGAGTTTTTTCCTTTTCTAACAATGAAAAATGAAACATACACACAATGGATAAAAACCCTAGTTACTTACTATTCAGTTTTCACTAATTAAACAACTGATAATATACATGTTGGGGCGCCTGGGTGGCTCAGTTGGTTAAGAGTCTGCCTTCAGCTCAGGTCGTGATCCCAACGTCCTGGGATCAAGCCCCACGTCGGGGTTGGGCACCCTGCTGAGTGGGGACTCTGCTTCTCCCTCACCCTCTGCCCTTCCACTCCACTCATGCTCTCTCTCTCTCTCGCTCACTCTCACTGTCTCAGATAAATAAAAAATCTTAAAAAAAAATGTATATGTCAACTGTGAATTAAGCACGAAGCTAAATAAATGAATAAACTTTTTTAAAAAAGTATTTTCCTGAACTTTGCTGTAACTTTGACCACTTAGAAGCAGTACTCATCAATTTTAAAATATTACTGTACATCCTCTATGTACTGGAAAAGGAGTTTACAACATCCTAGGAAATAATAAAATATCACACTAAGATGAGTGGTGTAATAAAAGTACAAAAAAAGTGATGTGGACGTTCACAAAGAGAACTTACTTACAATTTGTCATATTAGCAAAATATAAGAAAACTGAAATAGTCTAACAGAAACAACCTAAGAGATGTGTCAGGGGCTTCAAGTTACCCCAAATATCCAACCCTCCCCACTTTCTTCCAAGTATTAAGAATCTAGTTTTTAGCTGGATACATGACTGCCTAAAGTCAAGACTGCATTTTCCAGCCCGCTATGCAGTAAAGCCAGCGTACGACATTAAGTTCTGGCCAATAAGATGGCTGCAACTTTGGCAAGAGTCCTTAAAGGATTGGGTATGCTTTTCTCTTTTCCTTTTCTGCCAGGAATGGGGATGTGAAGGCTAGATCATGAGCAGCCATCATGGACCAAGCGGTGGAAACCTTGTATTGAGGATGGCAGAGCAAGAGATAAACGGATGGGGTCCCTGATGATTGCAGAGCAGTCATACCACTCAAAGACACTGCTGTGAAAGAAATCAACTTCTTGTTTAACCCACTACTTTTGTGAATTTTCTGTCTCTGACAGCCAAACCTAATACTAACTAAGTTAGGAGGCAAAGGCAAGGTCTAGGAAAGAAAAGGCATATAACAGACTGCTAAGTTTCATTGATGAGGGTGTCATCCATAGAAGAGAGTCAAGATTGAATGAGTCTGCACAAGGAAAAGAGAGCTGAGGGTAAATCCTCTGGATACAACCTCATTGAAGAAGTGGGAGAGGCTCAGCAGAGAGATTCGGTACCAAGGGAGCCCAAAGTCACACAGATCAAGAGAAGAGAATTTGCCAAGAAGTAGAGGATCACTAAGTGTCAAGGGATAGTGAAGGAGGAGAACCTAGGAAACGTGATGAGGAATTGCTTAAAGGAAAAATGACAGAACCAGAGTCCAATCAATTTTGCATTGGAATTCTAAGCATTCTGGGTGAAGTGTCTGTTCTAGTATACAGGGTGAAAAAAAATCTTAAAACAAAACAAAACGAAACAACAACAAACTCCTAGAAAAGTCAGATTGTTCAGACCAGCAACTATGAGTTAACACCTCGGGAAATAAAGGAGATACTGGTATATATTAACTCCCTTTCACCTCGTTACTTTTCATCATTTAACCTAGATGAAACCAAACAAACCCTCTTGGCTTTGACTAGTTAATTAGAAACCAAATCTGCTAAGAGTGCCTGGGCTCAGTTGGTTAAGCACCAACTCTTGATCTCAGCTCAGGTCCTGATCTCAGGGTCATGGGACTAAGTCCCCCAACACAGCCCCCCACCACCACATCCAGCCCCACATGGAGCCCCGAGTTGGCTCGGTGCTCAGCAGGGAGTCTGCTTGAGATACTCTCTCTCCCTCTCCCTCTGCCCCTCCCCCCGTGCTTGCTCACTCTCTCTCTCCCTCTCTAAAATAAATAAATCTTAAAAAAGAAGAAGAAGAAGAAAGAAAGAAAGAAACAAACCTACTAATGAGATTTGGAACCATCCAGAATACTCAGAAGCCCAAAAGGCAAGTATTTCCTCTGGGTAAATAATGGCTGCAAAAGTAGCCAAAATCAGTGCCACTGAGGTCAAGAAGCTGGCTTCCCTCATTTCAACCAAACTCTACTCTTCTATTTCTTACGGTCTTGCTAATTTTGCAAAAATGAAAAAAGGGAAATGAAAATGGCTGTAAACAGATACAGCTTTACTAGATTCAAGCCGAGTAAAGGGACCACAGCCTTGTAGCAATGACAAGTTTACAGGGGCTAAGAAATTATTTTGTCCCCTTAATATTGTCCAGGTATGGAGAAATCTAGAGTAAAGATAACATTTTCTTGGGTGCTGAGCAAAGCTCTTTAGCTTCTGTGACTTTAGGAGGTCTTTCTTGTGACAGTTTTTTTAAAACCAAAGGTCATCAAATCAAGTTTGTAGCTTGTGACCAGCACTTCTTTAAAGATTTTATTTATTTATTTATTTATTTGAGAGAGAGAAACAACATGAGAGGGGAGAGGGTCAGAGGGAGAAGCAGGCTCCCTGCTGAGCCGGGAGCCCGATGTGGGACTTGATCCCAGAACTTTGGGATCATGACCTGAGCTGAAGGCAGTCACTTAACCAACTGAGCCACCCAGGCGCCCCAGCATTTTTTTAATCAAAGAAATAGAAGAGAAGAGAAAAATAGAATATGATAAACTATATAACATGTAAGGATAAGGGTGGGGGTGGTTTTTTATTTGTTTTTAGTAGGCTCCACCTCCAGCGCAGAGCCCAGTGCAAGGCTTGAAGTCACGACCTGCCCCCCAGATTCACCTGAGCTGAAATCAAGAGTCAGACGCTTAACAGACTGAGCCACCCAGGCGCCCCGTAGGGATAAGTTTTGTTTCACAAAACTTTGTTTTCTGTTATGTGTGTGTATGTGTGTATATCAAGTTGCTATGTAAAACATGGGATTTCTTACTGTATGGATTACAGTAAAAAAAAAAAAAGTATGAAAGCCATTGTTCTGAGAGACAGGCCTAGTAATCAGACATGTCCTATACTTATAAAGAGGGTTGGCATTCATCTGAATGGAAGGAAACTTCGCTGGCTAAACTTTTTTGGGGGACAAAAAAAACTTCAAGTAAGAATCAGTGAGCTAGAAAGAAATAATTTCCCATATACAAGTAGGAAGGGGAAAATGAAGGAAAGAAAAGCATAAAGAAAAGAAATGGGGGGAGGCTGCCCGGCTGGCTCAGTCAGTGGTACATGAGACTCTTGATCTTGGGGTTGTGAGTTGGAGCCCCACGTTGGGTACGGAGATTACTTAAAAATAAAATCTTTTATTTTTTTAAAAGATTTTATTTATTCATTCGAGACACAGAGATACAGAGATACAGAGAGAGCATGAGCAGGGGGAGAGGCAGAGGGAGAGGGAGAAGCAGGCTCCCCGCTGAGCCAGGAGCCAGACGTGGGGCTCGATCCCAGGACCCTGGGATCATGACCTGAACTGAAGGCAGACGCTTAACAATCTGAGCCACCCAGGTGCCCCCAAAATAAAATCTTTAAAAAAGAAAAAAAGAAAAATATAGGCAACCTGTTAAACTTGATGAACATGCTGGGATACATACCTCTGTGTAAAATATAACTTCAGAATGGGTACCTGGCCTGCTCAGTCAGTAGAGCATGCGGTTCTTGATCTTGGGGTCTTAAGTTCAAACCCCACATTGGGTGTAGAGATTACTCAAAAATAAAATCTTAAAAAATGTGTATATATAACTTCAGAAGAAGATAGAAGAAAGGGCGGGAAAGCATTCCCAAGTAGAGAAAACTTGATGAAGCTGAAATAAACCCTGGGCAGCCAAGCCTGCTGGAAAGCCAAGCTTTCCATGATGGTAGCTAACACCTCCACAAGGACAGTTTATGATCTCCAGCATAGGTAAACTTCACCACAAAGTTAGGAGGTGATACAAACATTTCTCTTGCAAGGGGGGAAAGGGCAGGCTAAATATGAGAAACGTTTAAAATTGCTATGAGAAAATATTTCTAGTTATGGGTATAAGACTGTGAAACTTTTTTCCCAAGTTCGTGATGGGCATGGTTTCCTGTTATGAGCAGAGGCTGAGGCAGAGTCCTGATACCTAGTATCTCTAACTAAAACACAGACAAGTCCAAAATGGATATGTAATCATATCACTTATGTTTTTCTTCATCAAACCCAAAATAACAGATATTTTGGGTTTTTTTTTCTGTGAATGGCAAGAAAGTGGACATATTCTTGTATGATTTTATTCCTGCTCTTTTTTTGTATTATTAAATGCAATAACATTAAAAATAAGAAGTACATTAATACTCATGATAAAATCAAATCTGATGACACAGTTAAATTAGCAGATCTCCTCATTCCAGTCTCTTTTTCGCTCCAGCGGTATGTCGTAAGAATGTTGACCAAAGATCTTTCTCCCTGTTTTATATATTCTTTGTAAATTATAATTTCTCCTAATCCTACTCCCTGAGGATGGGTGGCTCTTTCCTGGGCTGATGGATCACTTTCCTTTTTACAAAGATATGTAAGAACCAAACCTATATAATTAAACATTTTTTAAATTAAAAACAGAAAGCCACCAGTTTTGAAAGCATGGCTTGTTAGGGGCGCCTGGGTGGCTCAGTCATTAAGCGTCTGCCTTCAGCTTGGGTCGTGATCCCAAAGGCCTGGGATCTAGCCCCGCATGGGGCTCCCTGCTTGGCGGGGAGCCTGCTTCTCCCTCTCCCTCTGCAGCTTCCCCTGCTTGTGCGCTCTCTGTCTCTCTGTCTCTGTCTCTCTGTCAAATAAATAAATAAAAACTTTAAGAAAAAAGAAAGCACGGCTGTAAGTACAGGGCACACATCTGTGGGAAACCTTAACAAGGAAGGTGCTCCACGATGAAATAAAAGAAGATAAACTGCACATTCGTTATTCAGGAAATGCGACTTAACGGGCTTCCTCCGAACGTTATCTACCACTGAAGCACCAAGGCCTTGAATTTAGAACAGATCAGGAGAAAGAACTTTGCATTTCTGCGCCACATCACAATTCACCTATTCTCACTGCCTTGGCACGAATGAGGACCTTTGTTAATTTTTTTTTTTACAAACGTGAAGCCACCTTCTCATCGGATTTTTAAATCTTTCAGTCACACACTGTTAGGGTGGCCTGGACTTGAGGTTGGGAAGTGAGGGATCAGGGTCCAGCTAGCATTGTACCTTTGGAACAGAACGTACACCCGAGGAGTCAAAGCTGCTAACGAGCAGAAGGGCTGAGCACGAAGCTGGCACGGACGACCCGGGTTCGAGCCCAGCCCGCCCACTTAGCAGCCATCTGTCTGCCTCTGAGCCTCAGTTTCCTCACCAGTGAAACAGGGATCAGAGCTCCCTGCGAACGTCAACCAAGCTAACCTAAGAGAAGGCCCTGGCATGCGCCGCGGTTCAATCTGTGCCAGTGTCTTTCTGCGTTTAAACCAGCAGGGGGTTCAAAGCCTCAGAGCAGGCAGGCGGCGAAGGGCCCACCGTCCCCCAGCCGCAGGCGACCAAGCCCGTTACCTGATGGCGTTGACCGGCGGGTTTCGGAGGCGGATCAGCGCCAAGCAGTTCCGCAGCCGCGTGTACTCGGCCATGTCTGCTCGGTCGCGAAGGTCGCCTCCGCCTCCCGCCGCTAGGCGATGCCGCGTTCCCCCCGCGTGGGGCCGGCCCCGAGAGGAGGAGCGCCCGCTGGGCCAATGCAAGCCCGGCGCCGCCTCCCGCCGTCCCGGGGCCCGGGGCACCGCCGCCGGTCCTCCCACCCGCTTCTCCTCCTCCACGACCCCAGCCCCGCGCTCTGCAGGCGCTTGTGGTCTCCTTCTTTGGGTTGGTTCCCATCATATCCTAGATCAGAGAGGACGGTGGAAAATGGGTGCAATTGCCAGCAAGTCGAAGTTTGCAACCCTGCCTTCTCTGGACAACTTCTGGGCTCACTAGGTTGGTGGAGCTGTCCTCATCAGTTTTCATCTTCATGATCCGTCTTAACCGGGATGGATACCTGGGGTCTTGTCAATTAGGTGATAAGACACACGCTTGGAACTTAAAATACACGCACCATGAATTTCACCTAAACCGGTATGGTACCAACCACTTACAGAATAGTAATTTTATCTGTCTTACTATAACGGCGGAACCTAGTGAAAGGTATGGGTATCTTGTCTACCCCAACCTTCTCTTTTTTTCTTTAAAAAAAAAAAACTCCCCCAGTTTTGTTGATATATAATTGACATACATCACTATACAAGTCAAAGGTGTACAGCATAATGACTCACATAGATTGGAAAATGATTGCTGCAGTAAGTTTAGTTAACATTCTGGCATCTCGGGGCGCCTGGGTGGCTCAGTCGTTAAGCGTCTGCCTTCGGCTCAGGTCATGATCCCAGGGTCCTGGGATCGAGCCCCGCATCGGGCTCCCTGCTCCGCGGGAAGCCTGCTTCTCCCTCTCCCACTCCCCCTGCTTGTGTTCCTGCTCTCACTATCTCTCTCTCTGTCAAATAAAAATAAATAAAAATCTAAAAAAAAACCCAAACAAAACAAAACAAAAAAACATTCTGGCATCTCATATAGATACAAAATAGACCAAAAACAAAAAACAAAACCCTCTCTTTTCTTCTTCTGTCATTCCTAAGGATTGTGATTTCTAATGCTTCATTCATTCATGAATTGAGCAGCTGTTAGGAGCTTGGCCTAGGCAGGAGACTAAAGATAAACCAGGCCCAGGCCCTTCCCTCCAAAAGTGCACCACTGAAACAAGGTTTTTCTAGATGGTATCAGCCTCTGGTGGTCCTCACAGTCCATCAAGTGGTCATAAGGCAGTCTGGAAGTTTCAGAGGAAAACAAAACGAAACAATGGAATGATTTTGTTCACTGATGTTTCACAAATCTCAGCAATGATTAGGGACTATTTTCATATTCTTTTACCTCTTGGAAATAAAAACAGGTTCCAAGTCTGAGGAAAGTAGGATTGCCTTGAAGCCCTGGGAACAAGCAGCAGTCTGAAGGTATCCAACCCATCACGAACAGCCCTCATTTCTAACAGCCAGCCAATCACAAACAATACAGTGCACGCCTCTCAGGGTCAACATTTGACAAAAACCAGCTCCTACAGGTGAGATCTCTGATGCCTCTGAAAATTTGCCAACCCCTGAACTCCACCTTGCTCAAAAACATCATGAAAGATTAACAGTCTGCTCTGCCTGCGAGAAACTGCATGAGGAGCCTAGGTTTCCTTATTATAGGAAGCGACAAATTCAGCTTCATCTTCTTATTTCAGATACTGGTCTCTAGGGAAACAACTCCACAGAGGCCTCCTAGCAACCTTGAGTGTCTCCACAAAGGCCATGTAGGCAAGACTTAATAGTTCTGAATGGCCTGAAATTCTTCCTGGATCAAGAGTTGATGAGCATGGTGTGGAGCTGTTTTGAGGCAGGTTCTCACCTCTATCTTGGAGGTATTAGCCATAGGTCATTTCTCACCTACTTCCCCAGTTTTAGTTGAATGCAGAGCTTTCTCCCTAGTACAAGCTGCAAACTTCTATGTAAATCTATAGAACTGCTCAACAGTAGTTCTAAGGTAGGGACAGGGACTAAGGTAAGCAAAGGAGGCACCCAGTGGGCAAAATGTAAGAGGGCACCCACTCTGTTTCCTACAAGCGCCCACGCTGCCCTTTTCCTCAATAACAGAGCGACTCAGGGTTCCCGTGATCTGTCATGTAGCCTCTCCTATTTGGTGTCATCCTATGGGACTAGGGATACAGGAAGGTGATAACCATATCTTTCTTTTGCTATCTATGTAAATAATAAACTGTCTAAATCCATTCAGTCTCGGGGCGCCTGGGTGGCTCAGTCGTTAAGCGTCTGCCTTTAGCTCAGGTCATGATCCCAGAGCCCGCATCGGGGTCCCTGCTCCGTGGGAAGCCTGCTTCTCCCTCTCCCATTCCCCCCGCTTGTGTTCCCTCTCTCGCTCTCTGTCAAAATAAAATAAAATAAAATCTTTAAAAAAAATCCATTCAGTCTCCTTACGGACCAAATCTATGGAAGTGTGGCAAGCCAATCTATCAAGTGCCACCATACTGCCAATGACAGACTGCTTGACCCTTTGACAGTCTCTTGAGCATTGCAATGAAGTTTTATATTCTTAAGTTGTCTTCTCATTTAATTTGTCTCAACAAGTGCTACTTAACAGGATGTCATTTCTCTTGGCTAGTGCCCTTCAACATCACTTGCATGTTGAATATTAGCTTGAATATTATGTCACTTTCATTGTTGTTGTGTTGCAACTTATGAAAATAGGTCAGTTAATCAGAAGAGGTTTTTTTGTGTGTGTGTGTGTTTAAGTAAACTCTATGCCCAATGTGGGGCTCGAACTCATGACCCTGAGATCAATCACGACCCTGAGATCAATAACAACCCTGAGATCAAGTGTTGCATGCTCTACCAACTGAGCTAGCCAGGCACACCTAGAAGAGGTTTTTAAAACTTATAAGACAAATAAAAGAATGTAAATATAGAACTTTTGTGTGCTAGATCATGCAAATATGTACTCACAGTAAAAATGGAGATGACTATCTAAACTTGGTTGTGAAACTTCATTCAATAGTGGCATGAAGCCATGAGGGCTAAGGCTGACTTCTCTGGTAAACCATTTAGATTGTTCTGGAACAAATGAAAAATATTGCTTTCCAGCTGAAGTGATAAAATCTTTCAGATGTTCTCTTCCACGTCATTTCCCCTTTTACTGTGGGATATAAATGGGCACAAGGCCTCAGAGAAGGAGGGAGCCACAGATAGAAGAAGCCTGACTTCCCAAATGATCTTGTGCGGCAGAGCTGCCTGCTGACTAGAACCAACATGGACTGTTACAAGAGAAAGAAAGAAATGTGGGTCTGTTTGTTAAAGAATTTTAACCTATCCTATTACAGCAAAGAAATGGGCAGTGAGTACACTCTTCCCCAGTGAAGTTGGCTGACATTTGAGGAGAAAATCTGCTCACATAAGTACTTGAAATAAGAGATGTGATATAAATAATTTCTTTACTGTGCCAATAATATTAGTAATGACAATTTCTGTAATTTCCAGTGGCTTGCTCAAGTGTTGGGCTTTGGAGATATAACACACACACACACACACACACACACACACACTGTATTCAGTATCTTCATGATGAAGATAAGCTATCAGGATTCCTAAAGAAGTCTCAACTGTGGCAGAAAAATGTCTCAGTCATGTCAATTATCTTCACTGATTGAAATATCAGAGATCAATGATGTATTATTATGTATGTATGTATTATTGAGCATATTTAAAGATCATGCCCATAGGCTGCAACCAAATCTGAGCTGAATATAGCCAAAACCTGAACCAAGAGCCTATTCACTGCTATCTCCCGTATTTCAACCTCTCAGCTTTTCAGTGAGTGCTGCTTGTCACCTGTCATCAGCCAGATCATATTCATGTTTTCTTAATTCACATTTGCTCCCTTTTTCCCTATCCAGAAAGACATTTTTCCTTCTAAATTTCAAGTGATATGGTCTTTTTTTTTTAAAGGATAATGAATTTTTAAATTGAGGTCTAACTCACACACTATACAATTTATTCTTGTAAAGTGTACAATTCACTGATTTTTAGTATATTCACAAGGTGTACACGATCACTACTCTCAAATTCTGGAACATTTTAATCATTCCAAAATAAACCTTGTACCTATTACGCAGATTTGCCTATCCCACATATTTCATATAATTGGAATTACACAATATGTGGCCTTTGCGCCTGGTTTCTTTCACTTAGCATAACATTTTTGTTTGTTTTAGGGAAGGAGTGGTTCCAGGCCTCTCCTAGCTTCAGGTAGTTCCCTGGCTTTGTGGCTACATGATTGCAGTCTTCATGTGGTGTTCTCCCTGTGTGGGTGCATCTCTGCATCCAAATTTCCCCTTTTTATAAGGACACTAAATGATCCCATCTTAACTTGATCATCTGCAAAGACCCTATTTCCAAATCAGGTCACATTCACAGGTCTTGTTGGCTAGGACTTCACATCTTTTTGGGGGACACAATTCAAGCCAGAACAGCCCCATGCAGCCGCTGCAGTAGAAGCCCTTTTAGGGGGCAGAGCAACAAAAGTCAGCCTGAGCACCACAAGCAACCACGCAGTCTTGGTATTTGAAGCCACAGAAATGGCAATGACTTCCACTCTTCCGAACCATAAAGTCATAGTTTAGGTTAGGTCACATTTGATTTTTTTTTTTTTTAAAGAAGGCTCCATGCTCAGTGTGGAGCCCAACATAGGACTGAAGTCACGACCCCAAGATTAAGACCTGAGCCAAGATCAAGAGTCAGTCAGACACTCAACCAACCAAACCACCCAGGCACCCTGATTTTTTTTTTTTCTAAAAGTAAGCAAAACTGTCCAGAGTAGAGAAATATTTATCCTTAAACAACCACACAAGCTAGCTTTTTCCATATAAATCACCACAAGAAGAGAGATTTGGACATTACCAGCCACACCCAAAGGTTACTGGACATTTTAGAAATTAAAATAAACAGAAAAGATGCAGCCTCCATCTGACATTATTTTTTAGGGGAAGGGGACAAAGCCCTTTAAGTTGACAGGATGCACGCCAAAGTAATAAAGGACAACATTTTT